TTTTCCTCTTGACAATACCCCATAGATTCTCTATGGGGTTCAGGTCTGGTGAGTTTGCTGGCCAGTCAAGCACACCAACACCATGGTCATTTAACCAACTTTTGGTGCTTTTGGCAGTGTGGCCAGGTGCCAAATCCTGCTGGAAAATAAAATCAGCATCTTCAAAAAGCTGGTCTGCAGAAGGAAGCATGAAGTGCAAAATTTCTTGGTAAACGGGTGCAGTAACGTTGGTTTTCAAAAAACACAAGTGGCTGATAGCTGTCACATTTGGCCTAGGTATGGCATGGCTGAGCACATATGGGCCAAACTTTAACCGTATATGTTTTGCCATGGATTTAGAATTGGAGGGAATTTTCTTTTGGATGACAATTTTTTTGAGGTATATGGCCCAGATGATAGCACACAACTGAGAGCACACCATGGAATATGTTAACTTGGCACAGCAAGTTATGGCACACCATGGAATATGTTAACTTATGGTTAACATTTGGCTTTTATTTGGAAAAACACATAAAAACTGCGGGAAGTTAAGTGGCAGTCCACATCTCAGCCCATTCAACAATGCTATTGGTTGCTTTGTGTCTTCCCTTATTCCTATTGGTGGATTACTGAAATTTTGAAAATATATCCGTTATTTCCCACTCTGCTTCCTCTTTCAATCGTAAAGAAGAGGATCATTACATTCTGTAATCGTAAGGTTTGTGTTTTGATCTTTTCGATAAGAAACAAAGTCTCATCTTTAAAATTATGTATATTTTATCAGGAAATTAAATCCATAAATGCGTTTTGACGCTCTTTGATGTGGCATGACAGAAAGCTGCAAGCGGAAGCGTGGAGAGCGACCCAGTCAGCAAATTTCCTTTGGCGCGGATCTGGATCATATCAACAGCTAAAGTGTGGCCCCGATTAGTTTGTGTTGTGTTCTTTTTAGCCAGAACTGAACCTAAACATTGCCATAACCCAACACAGAGTGAGCCAAATATCATCTTTTTCCTCTACAATCGGTTATAACGCGAAATAAACACGCTCATGTCATGTAATCTCAGCAATAAAACAGAATTACGAAAAATGCCAGTAAAACATCATTTG